ATGCCAGATTCAGCATGTAGGGTCAGCACAGAGCAGGCACTGCATACAATGCAAGCTCCATACCGGCACTGTGCACTACATGTAGCATGCATCCTGGAGCAGCCCCACATACCATGTCCAGAGATGGCATCCACTGCATGTGGGACTGGAGCACATGCAGCCTGTCCAGGGCACCCACTGCATGCAGCACCTGTACCAAACTAGCCCTCTGACCTCACAGGATGAATCCAGGACAATCTCAACCAGCCCAGGGCCCTTCATCCAGCCCACAGGGCCTGACCAATCACAACCCTGATTTATATCTATACTTCTGGCCCCACACCTTGCACTATAATCAGAGGTGACCAAATTGCAGATTTTAGCATGGATCTCTGGTATTAAATTTTGAGGTAGAAAGTTGCATTCTACAATGTCTGAAGCTTTCAAATTGTCCAGGTACAAGAGTAGAACATCTCTGCTGGACAATTAAGGAGTATGATCGCTGCATCCAATTATCAGACGACTTCTCGTCCAGCTCAAGGAAGAAGCCACTTCCGTTGGCTGTCAATAAAAATCCTATTTTTCAGCAGTTTAGTGAAGAAATAATAAGCATATTACACCAATCCATTTCTCCCTAGGAAATCTTCCACCCCCAGAATGACCAGGCCAAGCTGCATTTAGCTTTCCAATTCCTAAAGACTAAGCATATTCAGACCCACAGAACTTCCCTCTACCATGTAACTGAGCTTGCAACAGCAACTTACTGCCACTTCCACAATTCATTCACTCCAACATAAAAATGCTTTGCCAATACGGGCAAACAATATGCCACAATCTTAACATCATTAGATTGTCCAAAGATTGGAACGAGGTGCTGCCTGTATACTGATGACACCCAGCTCTCTCTCTCATCTGACCCAGGCCTGGCACTCAGTCCTTTCCCAGTGTCTGGCTGTAGTTGGAAATTGGATGCAGGTGAATTAATGAAACTGAATCCAGATGAGCCAGAGTTGATGGTGGTGAGCAGACTGCATGACTTAGTAGGGATTGGGACACCCAACATGAATGGAGTTCAGCCTCCACTTGTCTTTCAGGTTTGTATCTTGGGGTGCCCCTAGATCCTCTTCTGCACCTACATCTTCAGGCAGTGGTGGCTAGGAGTGTCTGGGGAAAAGTGCAGGACTCTTTCCTTCAGATTCAGATCTGATCACCATCATCCAAGCCTTCATAACCTCAGGACTAGACTGTGGCAAAGCACTCTATGGAGGGCTGTCCTGGAGAGCCATCCAGAAGCTGCAGCTGATGCAGACTGCAGCATCCCACCTTCTGCCACGACGCATTGCCAGAGGCACATAACTCCCGGGCTCCAGTCTGCACCGGCTCCCACTGGTTTTGGCCCAAAAAGGTCTGGACCCAACACACCTAAGGGACCGCCTTCTTCCTTATGCCACATCACAATCCCTATGGGCAGACCTTCAACTTCCTGCAAGTACCGTCACTGTATCAAATCCACCTGGTGACAACACATGGGAGGTCACTCTCAGCAGTCACTCCACAGCTCTGGAACTCCCTCCCTCTTGAAGCTTGGGTTTTGGCAGGCTTGGACATCTTTTGGAAGCACTGTATTCAGGCAGGTGTTTAACAAAGAAAGCTAGGCTGGGATATTATTTAAGCATTTTCTGTTTTATGTTGCTATTCTTGTCGCCTTTTAAGTTGTTTTGTTCTCTTGTTTGTTCTGTTTTAAAAGAAATTCTGTTCCCTCACTGTAAGCCACCTGGAGCCTTTGCTGAGAAGCACAGCATATAAATCTAACAAAGAAATACAATAAAATTCATGTAGTCACACCCCTCAAGAACACTACCGTATCGAAACGGATGAGAGTTCTGCAGGGGCTTCCTGGTCGGCCCACCAGGAGAGACCGTCTTTCATTACTCAACAGCAACCATCCCAACTACTTAAGGGGCTCTTAATTCTCTGCAAAAATTCTCTCTGAAAGCAGATCCATCTATATGGAGGCATGGGAACTGCATTGCAGCACCCAAGGCTGCTGCAAAGGGAAACTGGAGAGGATCCTAACTGCAATCACTGGGCATGAGGAGACACACACGCACTCCAAAACTCACCACCTTCCCTTTTTCCACAGCCTCCATCTATGCAGATGCAGGTCTCATTCAGTCTTCTTCCTGCATTTTCTTTCTAACTTTGCTATGTGCCGCTGCAAAAACGATGCAGTAAGAACACACAGGATTCCTCTGGAGATTGTGGGGGGCAGCATTATGAAGAACGGCAGGGAGAAAATGAACTATTCAGGAAAAACTTATGCAGAAATCTGAAAGAACAGACATGTTAGGAAATGGAAGGCAGACAATGCAGTCTGACAGCTCACACGTCAGGTCCACAGTAAGGTATGTACAATGGTAAAATCATTTTCTCATCGAAACTGAACACCAGGTCCATGTGGCTAACATTTTGCCATCATTGAAAAATGGTAACAAAGCCATCTGAATAGGAAGAAGCAAGGAAACAGGATGCTTTAAATAGCAGGTGTTTGCAAAAGACTGCCAGAGTCAGCTGTCCCAAACTGACAACCAGCCTTTTATATCAAACAGGCAGCAACCTTTTATCACCTGGCTTGTCTCCCAGTTTAAGGACTGGCTACAAGAACCAGCTAACAGCTGAAAGAAAATATAAAAGAGAAGAACTGGTAATAAATAAGATGGGAGACTTTAGGAAGATTGCAAACTGACATAAGCTTTAGAAAATGCTATCAGAATTAGTGCCTAGAAAGAATTGTAAGTAAGAAGTTAATCACTACAGATGTCACAAAGAAAAAAAGGCAACAAGGACATAAAAAGATGTTGTAATACATTTTCAAGAATATAACCACCTAGATTGAATGTAATACATTCAATCTAGGCGGTTATATTCTTGGTCTGTTGGTTATATTCTTTATTTACACCAGCTGAACATGAGCCCCCTACAATACAATCTATCTAGGGCAGGGTTTACCCATGTTGTTATGGGTCTGTATCATCTCTAGTAGAATAGAACCTGATCCTTAATCAGGTTTCTGACATGCTATTGTGAAAAAGAAGTGATGACCAAGCACATTCTAAAGTAACTTAATTATTCAGACTAACTCTACAAAAAATAACATTTCAAAGGATTGAGTGCTCTGTGTTGTCTGCTTGGTCTTTATGTCTTGCAACTTTGATAAAGTAAAACCAAGTTAACATTTTAGTGAAATATTTAGAAGTTGTTTTATTTTATTCAAAACAATCTGGGAAAAAAGTGATTACAATCTTTTAGCTATATTACAGCCTAAGAAAACACAATTGTCATTTCTGATGGACCACATTTACTTTGAACTATTCACTTACACATATAGACACACTCTATAAGTGCCTGTCTTATATCTTGTGTAGCACCTTATAAATACATCACAACAAAACTCCTCCAGAAAGACAATAATCAAGTGTGTTCTTACAGTTCCAGCGTGAAAAAGCCCATTGAATTTTTATGAAGCAAAGCACACTGTAAACTCAGATGTCCTATTTTCTTATAAATGTTTATCTTCTATAATGCACTATATTGTGCTTTAAAACCCTCTCTTCTTTTAAAGTCAACCTATTGGTCCTGTGTTTTTCATATAAATTGCTTCAAATAATATATGCTGAGTTCTGCAGAGACCATTTGGTGAGATTCTAATAATCCCTCTTGGGAGCTGACACCAACTTTCAGCAGCAGGTCCAACACTGCAGATTAGAATAATAAAACACATGCTGCTGCAGCTTCCAGAAAATACAAGTCTGCCTTTTTCAAGCTAGAGGATGACATCCTGAGACATCTCAGAAGCCTCTTGTCTCCTAGCTAGAAGCATAAAGCTTTTTTTTTTTTTTTTTTTAAATGAGCAGTAAACAGTCTGGAGTCCAAGCACACCCAGAGAGTCGACTACCTCTTTTTATCCACTGCAAACATTTTGGTCCATATTCTAGGTCTTATTTAACTTTAGGTATAGAACAACACTGCATTACTCTGATAGGACAGTGTTAGTAAATGCGATTTTTTTTTTAATTTTATATCACCAGTTAATTTGAATTAAGGAGAGTGTTGTGGCCGTTAAATTAAGAAGTATAAATGCAGTAAACAGCACTTTTTCCATTAGTAAAACAATCTTTAACTCAGTTTTTCACATAGTGAAAATGCTGTTTCTTTAATTCCTCTTATACAAACCATAACCAGACAGATGTCATTAAAAAATTACCTCCAGGAAGATATGGGCTTATCAGAAGGTTAGGATTTAACCCCCTCAAATTAATTTTGTATTATGGTATTTGTCAGCCTAACAGAAATTATAGTTTCCCCTTATATTTTACTGTTCTTTCCTCACAAAATTCCAACTATAAATCCCAGGTGAATCTAAACTTGTCATGTTTAACCTCCTTGGTTAAAAGCCATCTAGTGTGTAATGATTTTTTTACACTGCTCTGAAAAATGAACAGTTTTTCACATGCACAAATGTTAACAGGAATCAAAGTCTCCTGTTTCTTCCTCTGACCTTCAACAACCCTGTCTTCTGCAAGAAAAACAAAAAACAACAAACAAAAAAATACCCAGCTGCTTTATTAATTTATAAGCACCACGCAGGCAGGAGTGATCTAAAAACAAAATCCCACCAATAACAGATTTTTAAAAAAAACCTACAAACCAGCTTGATGGATTTCCGCAAACAGAGAAATCCTCACCCTCATTCTTCCGTAGCAAGTATGATCCCAGTGCTATTGCTCAGTTGTGAGATCTGTATTAATCTACACAAGGCCCAGTGTTGTTTTAATTTGCCTTGTCAAATAGATACTTCACATAAAGCCATGACTTTTTAAGTCAAAAGAAATTCCCATGCATATGAAGTAGCCTAGTGGAGATTTAATTAAACAATTCTACACAACTCCAGTGGATCTGAGAAATTCCGGCACCCAAAAATAAAAGAAAGATTAAAGGTTTTTAACCATGCCCATACTCACTGAATGCAGCCACTGCAAGAGCCAGTGTGATAATAATGGAGGCTCCAGAAACCCACAAGGCCTTCTTCCTGTAGCTCTGAGCTTCATGAGGTTTTAGCCGTGTGCTGCTTTCTAGTAAACCTAAGAAAAGGAATAGACAAAGAGGCGTGAAAATCACGTTGCTCCCTGTAAAACCACAGCCATCTTGTTTCAGAACCAAACTAGATATTCATGTTTTACACTGCATGCAGTACAGTATGTGCCAAACCCTATGCACCCTATCCAGTTTAGGTAAAATAAGTTAAACAGCAATGGTAGAAGGACCAAAGAGAGGAGCGAGGAGAGCACGTCGGCTCGACAGTTTTCCTGGGCCTGTACCCACGTGATCCATAATAAAGCTCTCAACTTTCATTATTCAGGTTAGGTCTCAGTTCCTGAATGGAACTAAAAGAACCCATGGGAAAAAAAAATCATTTTGGGTGTCAAGTTCACAAAGCTCATAACCCTGAGAGACTGATTTGCTGATGCATTAAAATGTATAGTGTGTGTGTGGAATATCAAAGGAGGAGTGGGCATATTTTAGCATCACAGCCAAAGATGGAAAAGGCCTATTAAAGCCTGGGGGTCCATGCTTCTGCCAAGGCCAGGAGAGACCCATCGACACGATGCATCACAGAACAAGCTGCAAACTGGTCCTCCTCCTACTGAAATCATTGCAACAATCCCATTGACTTAAATGGTTGCAGGATTACTTTTGTTTTCTTCTTTCACCCTGCTTTTCCAGCTGTGGAATGCTTCCTAGCCCGCCGCCAAACCCCAGGAAACAATTCAATTTAGTAAAAGAAAAATAGTGATATTCTCTTGCTTCCTGCTCTTTCAGCGGATATAAACCCGATGGCGTTTAATACCAAAAAACGCAAGGACTCCACCTCGACTGTTCACCAGAGCGCCCCAAGGGATAACAAGGACTAGCAGTCATAAACTCCTCCATGACCATTTCAGGCTGGACATATAGAAAAATGTCTTTACTGTCTGAGCCGCCAAGACCTGGAAGAGACTCCCTCCAAAAGTGGTGCAGGCACCTACACTGGACTCATTCAAGAAATGTTTGGATGCTTATGTTGCTGGGATCCTTTGACCCCAGCTGACTTCCTGCCCCTGGGCAGGGGGCTGGACTTGATCTTCAAGGTCCTTTCCAGCCCTAATGTCTATGAAATCTATGAAACTTGTTAAGTCCTATTTTGCTTTGAAAAAACAGCTAGCTATTTGAAGATGCCATCTTTTGTCCAATCCACGCTGTTTCTTTTACCTTTGATTAGGATATGTATTACATTTAAAATATATTCCCCTTCGCTAGCAAATTGGGCCCAAATCAGTTTCACAGACTCTCTGGAATATTTGATTTAAGAAATGTAAAAGCCAGCTAGCCTTACCCAGCGGTTCCTTTAAGCTGGAGTTGTGTTTCTCAGGGAACATGGATATTGGAAAAGGTGGGTGTGTAAACTATTGAAGTTAAATATTGCAGCCATAGAGAACAGCGTGGCCCAGTGTCTCGAGCACAAATCTAAACATTAGGAATCCTTACTCTAATCCTGTTTCAATCACTACCTCGCCATGTGTCAAACTCTGCCAGCACATATATGCATGAGGAGTTGCAAAAGACAAGGTAAGAAACTAATCCGGCTCTGTAACAGAATCATAGGAAACACT